TTCAGTAAGTGCTTGTTCTTGCTCAATAGCGAAGCAGTGCATGAGTCAGAATGCAACTACATTGGCTATTTACCTTGCATTTTGCATCCGATTTGGCACGGATAAAATAGAACCAAATGCCACCAACTACACATTGAGAAGACAAACACAGGGAAGCCCAGCGGGGAATCTTCTCTTTTCGTTCAGCATACAGGGAGTAGTTTATTTTGTTCTGATTCAGCAAACATTGCTTTTCTCCACTTTCTGGCATGTGTGATCACCTGATCTGATCCAAAACAGCAGTCATGGGGAGCCAGTAGATACACCATCACATCAGTTCTGATCAACAGTTTGTTGTCTCCCTTTCTCCAAACAATTTTCTTGTTTCCCTATTATACTTGCCATAGGAGAGCACTATACTAGATGAGCGCTATGTCATTTTGGAAAAGTAAAAAATAAGAAGTGGATGAAAGGAAGAGGTAGTTCCTAGGGACATGGCTGATTTCAGCAAAGATGGGCCTTTTTCTCAATTAAAGCTTTGCCCTGCGGACTCCAGCAATACGATAATTGATCATATTCGTGTGGACTGCTACAACAGTTTCGGCCACAGAAACCAGCAAAGACCAAGTTTGACAAACTCTGAAGCAAAGCACCTTTTATAGGCATACCCACAATCATGCTAGGTGGAGGGGAATGCAAGGAGAGATAAATTGTACTTTGGTGATAAAACAAATGACCATATTTTACCATGTATAAGACAATATTTTTCTTTAAAATATTTAGATTAAAAATTGAGATTTGTCTTATATACATGGAAAAATATAGTACACTGCAACCTCAAGTTTGTCTCCTGCCAGGATTGCCAAGAGTGATATAAACATATTTTTAACAATAATAAATAAGCCCCCAAATCCCCCCCCAAAAAAACACCACTGTTAGTGGATAGGGGTGACCAAAGTTTAAATGGCCAATATGTTGTAGCAAGTGGCCGATAAACATTTTTCCTATCAGCCAAAAGATACAGTCTGAGAAATCTACCCTCTCCCAAAATGAGTCTTAAAGGCTACTTTTTCTCTCTCTCTCTATGGGGAAAACTAGACTTGACACTAAAATAGGCCATCTGTTTCTCCCTCTTTGTAAAAAGCACAATTAGTGCCAGATGCCTCTGCGCTTGGAGGGGAGCACGCTACATATGGGGGTCTTTTAAAAACTGTTTTTGTCCCCTACAACAATTTCAATTATAAAATGTGCCTCCCATTCACATAAAGATGGAAGTTAGGGGGCTCGGGGCCGGCCATTTAGCACCCATCTCTCTCCTCCACTGCCATCTCCCGAGAAGGCAGTTGCCTCACTTTGCCAAAGAATAGGGCCGGCCCTCTTCACACCAGAGCAATAATAATTTTAAAAAACCACCCGCATCTGCCATGTCACAAAAATTGCTCTCACTCTATGCATGACTGACAAATGACTCCAACCCTTGCAGAAAAAGAGACAAGAAAGAAAAAAACAGGAGCCAGTTCATCACATCTAGTCCAACCCCCAGTTGTGGGAGCAATGGTTTCCTACAAGAATTAGACTCGGGGCGATGACTTCTTCCGTGCATAGAAATGCTGTCCAGTTTACATGTCTTCTTACACCTTCCTTTGTTACGGCCAACTGTTTCGTAGCAATATTTTCAAACATGTGTCTTTATTTCTGCTGCGAAGGAGGAACAGAATGGGAAAAAATGGCTATGAAGATTTTGGCTGGAAGATTCTGGAAGCAACGGCTCAGGGAACTCCACGCCGCCTGAGCAACTTCCACGCTAATACCGACAGATATTATTAAGCAGATCCTTCCACCCCACCTGCCCGTTCCAGTAAAGATGCCAGAGGTATTCAGCAATTCATTCCAGTAGGAAACATGTCCAGGAATTTCCCAGCAACACTGGAGGAGATTCAAAGGAACTTGCAACATTCTCCAGGCTGCTGAATTCCCGCGAAAGGATTTTTCAGTTCAATCTTTCAACACTCTGTATGTTTTTGCCACTCCCTTTTTCTCTACTGCTCTTCGAAGGCATCCAATATCAGCTTCACCCGAGCCTTTCAAAGATAAGTGTTGACTTCCTAGATGAGGTTTTCCAAGACAAGTAGGTCAAAAGGTCCCACATTTAAAAAAAAACATTTTTACAAAACAGGAGACCAATAAAACTCATAAGACAGGAATGTATCCTGAGTGGTCACAGAGTTTTTAAGTCTCTGAAAACTCTTCTTCATGGGGAAAACACCTTTCGAAGAACAGTCCTGCACAAAAGGCAGCTCATGGCCAAGCAGCCTGCTGTTTGTGCCAATTCTTTTACTGGCCGGACGAGTGTTTCGTGCTTCTTAGCCCTGCGTCCGCCAGCCGGGGCCCGCTCAGAAGCCTCGCCCTGGCTTCCCTGCCCTCTCTCCCCTGGGCACAGCCTCTGAGCGGGTGCCCACCAGAGAAGCCGGGGCTGGGAAGAGCCAAATGAACTGGCATCAACCGCCGAAAAGCAGTCCATGCCCATCTCTGGTTAAGTGATAAAGTTAGCATATTAATATAATGTGAGCTCCTTTAAGAGGGGAAGATTGGGCAAAATCCTATTACAGTAGTTATGTCTACTGGCATAACCTAATGAGTGTAACTCTCAGCAACAAATTGCTGTAAGAGTCAGCCTAAGTATTGCAACACCTACATTGATGTGTTAACTTGTATTTGCTGTAAGAGTCAGCCTAAGTATTGCAATAGCAAACACCTACACTGATGTGTTAACTTGTGCTGGATAGCTCAGTGGTTTGTGTCTCTGGCTGCAAAGTCACAAGTTAGGAGTTTGATTCCCCCACGGTGCTTCCCAGGGGAAAAGCCAACCTGGGTGGCCTTGGGCAAGCTGCACAGTCCCAAGGCATCCAAATAAGAAGGGAAGAGGAAATCTGAGTATTCTGTGCTTAGAAAACCTTGGAAAGGCACACCATAAGCCGGACCTGGTGTGATGGCACACAATGATGGTTAACTCACCACCACAATTTACAACTGTGTTCGTTTGGTGTAAGGATTCCAGCTGAGGCCTGTCTATTCTAACATGAGCTTGCCTCAACCCGCATTTAAAAATCTAGCCTAGTTTCCTTTTGTAGACATAAACACTTTACCTTAAACATATTTAATTTCTCAGGCACCTTAGCTTGGAAAGATTTGCATGACTGGCAAGTAGCAATATAATACTGTACTGTAAGAGGACGAGAGAGACCCACACCTGGCACAGAGGGGTGTGGCCAGGAGCTCTGTAGTTTGGGGGGAAAAAAGGCAAGACGGGGAAACATCACCAAAATATATAAAATCTTGCAGGTTTCATAGAAATAGGGTAACAACACAATGATGATGATGATGTGCCATCAAGTCAGTTCTGACTTGTTGTGACCCTTTCCAGGTAGAGAAGTATACTCAGAAGTATTTCCCCCTTCCCTTCTTCTGGGGCAGGGATGCCCTGGGAATGCACAGCTTACCCAAAGCCACCCAGGCTGCCTCTTCTGCTTGGAGGCACAGTTGGGGAATCAAACTCCCAGCCCCTAAAGCCACAGGCAGAGACCACAACCACTCAGCTATCCAGCCCAGGCTTTTTCTCCATCTCTCATCCTATTAGGACCTAGGGGTTGTCCACTAAGCTAAAGGGTGGGAGAATTATTTCTTAAGGTCTTTTTATTGTTGCCCACTTCAAAGATTCAGGGACAATTAAAGGAAGCATTTCTTAACAGAAATACTTAAAAATGGTTAAACTGTGCAGAGTTCAACTATAGCAGTCACTCTCGTAAGAGATAATAATGGCTTACGCCGCAGATAGCTTAAAAACGAAGAACAGAAAAATTCATGGAGGGAAATAGTTTATTCATTCATTCATTTACTTAACATTTACTGTGCATTTCAGCTGAAACAGGCACTCCAAACAAATATAGTTATTAAAGGCTATGTTACGTGCCATCAAGCTGGAACCGATTTATAGTGACCCTGATGGGGCTTTCAAATTTTAAGGAGTGGTTTTATTTGCTTCACTTCTCTCTTCCGGTGAGTTTCCTAGATCAAGTGGGGATTCAAACCTAGTTCTCCGGAATACTAGTCCATCACTCTATCCCTTACACTGAACTGGATATCCCTATCAATGGCTACTAGTCACAACTCTTGTATAATACCTCCAATTACACCTAGGAATTGCTGGGGAATAGGAGCGAGGGGGTGATGTTTAGTTTGTGGGGTTCCCTTTGGGGCACTGGATGCTAGGCTTTGTACGCCCTTGGTCTGATGAGCATAGTTTTTTTCTTAAACAACTGAATATCTTTTAAAATCATAAAGAGCCACGGGGTAAAGACTGCTGATCAGGATGGAGTGGAAGCGTACAAGAAAGGGGTGTTTAACCTTCTCCTTTTGTGTTGCATTCCCAATACTAAACATAAGGGAATTGGGAAATGCATTCAATACAACCCTGTGTGTTTTGCCTGCTGAAGCCAGAAATGGCAACTGGTCTTCCTGTACAGAAGGGTTGGAGAGAATCTGTCCTTAAGTCATCAGAGACCCAGTCACGCATGAAAGATTCACATAACCTGGAAGTTCATGGCTTCATGACAGTGTAAACTCTGAAAACCATATGCTGTTGATGGATGTGTCGCATGCAAAGCAGGATGGGAATATCCCTATGCACCCGGGAGATCACTGGTAAAAGACAAGAGACTGAGGACCAAAAAGGCCAGATCCAGCTTGGAAACCCATTGGGTTTATTTTGAAAGGGAGAATCAAGTGTTAAAGACAGACATTGACTTATTAGAATATTTCTCTGTTTGGAAATCAAGGGCTTTTGAAAAGCAAGCCATGGATGAATGACATGTACCCGTAACCCCTTGCAGAGACCAAAAGCAGCAGGAGGAAATCGGTGACCCAGATGGCTCAAGGCATGGACAGCATGAAAAGCAAAGCATGCAGCCGTGGTGGCAGCCAACAGGCATGCATTCAAAACCCCACAAAGCTTCTGTACTTACTTCAAGGATTTGCTGCTCCACACCAAGTCAGGAGGGGATGGGATCAGGAAGGGGGCGGTAGTGGAAATGGACAGGTCAGGATCGTTGGGGAGGGGGGAAAAAACAACAACAAGAAATCGACAACCATACGGGAGGAAAAAAATACATTTTCTAAAAGAGAAATATTTTTTCCTCCATCACTATTTTTTGAATATCAAACCATCCCCATCAAATATATATATTTGAATGAATCATTTGCAAGCATGCAAATTATATATATAAATATAATTTGAATTAAATATAAAAATGAATACACTGGTGCCTCGCTTAACGATTACCTCGTTAAACAATGAATCCGCTTGACGATTAGGTTTTTGCAATCGCAAAACAATATTCTAATGAATGAATCCGCTTGACGATGATCGGTTCCCTGCTTCAGGAACCAATTTTTCGCTTTACGATGATCAAAACAGCTGATCGTTGGGTTTCCAAAATGGCCGCCCACCGTGCAAAATGGCTCCCCGCTGTTTTTAGGATGGATTTTTCGCTATACAGGGAGCAGAAAATGGCTGCCCCATGGAGGATTTTCACTGGACGAGCAGGCATTTTGCCCATTGGAACGCATTGAACGGTTTTCATTGCATTTCAATGGACTTTTTTATTTCGCTTGACGATGATTTCGCTCTACAGCGATTTCGCTGGAACAGATTAATGTTGTCAAGCGAGGCACCACTTTATATGAAATTAGTCTCTCTGTATTGTCATGGCAATACCTGTGTGAAAGGGACAGAGAGAAGGGTGCCATCAGACAGTGAAAACAGATCACATCTGATTGTGTTGGAAAGGGTCACTTCTCTGGGAGTGATTGGCATTAAACCAACCTTTCCATCCCTACAGGAATCACTCCAGTTGACCAAAAGAAGTCTCCCTGCTGCTGGGCCAAAAAAGGTCCAACTTGGGCACAGAACAGGATCACGCTGGTTCACAATAATATGATTGCCGGAAAATAGCTCACACAAAACCATGTCACAAGAGGTCCAAAATGTGAGCAGTTTCTCCGTCTGATTGCACCCGGTTTCCTCTCTTCCACCATTCTCTGTGAACACTCATTAGACTAATTCTAACCCTCATCTCAGCAAGTAAGACCTTGCAGAGGGGCGCCTTGGCGTAGAATTCACACATAACTGATTCGTTCTACGGACACCGTTCATGAGTCCACCACAAATGGCATTTAAGAATAGGGACAGAACTGTATGCACGGAAACAGGAAAGGGAGCATCAGTCAACATAGTGCTTACCAGCATCAATTGTGTGCTGAATCTGCAAACTGCAAGAAGTCCTTTTTTTTTTTTGCTTCATTTATTCTTAGTGAAAAATGGAAAGGTTTTGCAATTTTTTTTTAAATCAAGAGAGAAAGGGAAGGAGGAAGGGGACAAAAGGAGACATGTGGACCACTAAGACAACAGGAGGCTGAGTGGCAGGATCAGGAGATCCAGAAGAGACAAGAGAGAGCTGAATCAAGTACAGAAGCTTCCCTTCCATAATAGAAGTCATACCCGCTTCTAATCTGGTGGATCCAGTTGCTGGTTCCCTTGCCTTGATGGATTTTCTCTGTGTTTGAGCATTTACAATTATTCCCGAAACCATGAGGTCTGGAAACATGAATTAAAGTGGATTATCTGAAATTGACTTGCAAAGGGATGAGAACTTAAATTGGATTGCTAAGCCTCAAAATCCACACGAGGAGGTTCTGAAGGCCAGTAGTTAGCAGAATGGAGGGACCAGGTCCTTCCCACACTGTACCCCTTGATGCTGCAGGTGAACAGGTGAATTACTTAAATATTCCTCTTGCAAATCCCGCTTTTAGCTTGATGGGGAACATTCTAGGAATAGCCTTGATCCTTGGGCTTCACGGCATGTGCAACTCGGGCAGTGTTCCAGTGGTGTCTTTCTCAACTTATGTCCAAATGGACCATCCTAATCAAAGGGGGGACTCACTTCTGCGTGGAGACTCTCAAGCCGTACTATGTGCTGGCTGGTTGATGTCTTCTTCTCCCTAAAGTCCTCTTGGAGGACATGAACCTGCATAGAGAGCTGTTTTTCCACCTCCGATGCCTGCAAAACAGGAACATGAACCCAATTTAATGTATGAGAATTTTAATGCAGAGAAACAGAAGGAGAGCATCCACTGGGTTCTAAAAATAGAACAAAAACAACTGTAGTCCATGTCTTACAGACACACTGGCAGGGAATTTTTAAGTCCTGTGAAACCTTCCTTATTTTTTTCTTAGTAACTCCTCTGTAGTTTGTACAGAATTCAAGATAAAAGGACCCTCTTTTTCCTTTGAGCAGCAAAACAAAGCAAACATTATACACAGCAATCACAGACTGCTTTAAAAGATGCTGCTTTTAAAAAAAGATGCAACCACCCAGTTCGGTGCTTCTAATAACGCTTAGCAGCTCGGGCAACAAAGCAGCAGCCACATTTATTTTGCCTTAAAGGCTTTATATGCATTTCAGCCATTTATTTGCACCCCAAAAAAATCCTGTTTTGTTCTCTGGTGGAGAACACCACAAAATGCCCTATTAAGGAGTGTGGACAATAGGTTTTGTGTTTTTGTGTTAAGTGACGATAAGACAAGCAAGGACCTACACCTAAGGGAGCACAGATATTAATGGCCCTCCCTGGGGCAGAAAGATCCAGCCACCATTCTGGATCTTCTTTCCTCTCCCCAAACTGGGGCCTTGGTTTGACTTCATCGGGGGGGTGGTAATGGGAATTATTATCTGATCGATCTGAAGAGTATCAGAGTCGGGAAAGTCTCTATACATACTCAGTCCAGAAGGCAGAGAAATATAAAACTAGAAATATAAGAAAATATATTTTCCTTCCAGAAAAGATTTTTCCTTCTAGAAAAGAAGGAAAAATACTAGACATTTCCCCAATATACAGGGAAAGACCACCAGCGCATACCAGTTGGGGAACATGCTAGTGATTATCCACCAGACACAAATGGAGTCTAAAAGTCTGTCTATTTTTCTCCTTCTCCCACCCACTCACTCTTCACACATGCAGACACCCACACACCAGTAACAGCCGAATCTAGCCAATAAACACACAAGATAAATTACTTCCCAAAATGTATCCCTCCCTAAAATGAAAAGTTCTCAGGAATAAAAAAAAATTCAGGAACAATCCTTTTACTGTACATTTCTTTCTTTGTAGAGAACAGAAATCTCGACCAGAAATTGATTCTGATTTATTTGTAAAACGCTCCAGGACATACTCCCATAGGAAATCATTATCGTTCTGCTATTGCAAAGGGTAAAAATAGAACTTGGGGAGTGCCAGCAGCAGCATCTGCCAGTAATGGAAAACAAGACACACCAATGCGGAAGGGCCCAACCGTGATGAAAAGACCCACTAAGAAGTTTTCTCTCCACACATTTCAGACAGGTGTGGAAAGCCTCAGCTTTAAAACCAACAATTTCCTTGAGCACCACGAATGTCACCTTTGCGGCTTATGGCTGTAAAAGTTACTATCAGTAACAACTATTGCCATTTTTAATTACGAGTGGAATCCAGGTTCTTTGACAGAATGATCAGTGTGGCAGAAGATATGAAAAAGTTTTAAAACACTGCTGCTTTTTTTTTGGCTACACTTACATTTCATATCTCACGTTTCCTCCAATAAACTCAAGGCACAAGCGACTCTCCTCTCCACCCTTTATTTTTAATCCCATTGAAGGCCAGTCAGGCTGAGACTGTGACTGGCTCAAGGTCACCCTGCGAGTTTCGTAGCCAAGTTCACATCTGAACTCAGGCCTCATAAATCCTATTCTGCAGCTTCACTCAATGCTCCGCACTGCTGGATCTAGAGCAGCTTTCCCTCACCACGTACACACACACCACATGTGGTGTTATTATACACACACACAGACACACACACACACACACACACACACACACCAAATTATCTATCTGTCTGTCTGTCTGTCTGTCTGTCCGTCCATCCGTCCGTCCGTCTATTTTTAGCTTTTAAATATAGTCTTCTACTGATGTAAGTCACCTTGGGTTGACTTCAATAATTATCTTGCCAGTCTCTAATATTCTACCCATTGGCAAGATGCTGGAGCAGGTCATACCTACCTACCTACCTACCTACCTACCTACCTACCTACCTACCTACCCACCTACCTACCTACCTACCTACCTTTTGAAGGTGAGTGGTACAGTAAAAATATTTTGGATGGATGGATGGATGGATGGATGGATGGATGGACGGACGGACGGACGGACGGACGGACGGACGGGTAGATGGATGGACAGACAGACAGACAAATACACACATGATTTGGAAATGATTCCAGTCTTAATGCTAGGCAAAAAAAAAAGCCGTGAGCCTAAAACAGCAGATTTCAAGTGTCACAGAATAGCAGGAAATGACTGGATACGTCCGGAACGGATTAATTACTTTTCAGTGCATTCCTATGGGAAATGGTGCTTTGACCTATGAATGTTTCGACCTACAAATGCCCTTCCGGAACGGATTAAGTTTGTAGGTCGAGGTTTGACAGTATTTAATTTGTTGGGTTTTTACTGACAGGCTAGGAGAAATGCATACTTGCAGGATTTTCTGGTTGAGTGCTATCTATACCTATCAAATATTTTCTCTGAATTAAATACTTGCTTAAGGGTAGAAGGTCAACTGAAGAATTCTAAAATGTTAAAAGGGGGGGGATTGGACTACAATTCCCAGAACCCCCCAGCCAGCAGAACTCTGGAAAGCTTGCTGCCTCTCGGCCAGCCATATCTCTTAGGCTGGTCTTGTACTGTCATATTAATCTTTTAAGGACAAGCTGGAAGCCAGGGTATTCTTTTTGAAAACTTTTGTTGTGAAGTTCTGATGAAAAGCAGCCTTTTCTGATCTCGGAAGGCTGCTGCATTTTGGAACAGCCGCTGTCTCCAGCCCCACATCACGACAATGCAATCTTAGGTTTATTAGTAATTTAGTAACGAGCCACTTCCAGGACAGCAACAACGTGGCATTGCGCCCGGAGCACACCACTCATTTCTCCCTTGTCCAATTGTAAAATCAATTACGAATGGCTTAATACCCTGTCTTACTCATTGGCCACTAAGTGCTGTGGGCTGATGTTCCATTACATATTTTCCAGCTTTAAAAAAAATATCTCCAGTCCAACGAGAGCTTTCCAGGTAGGGCTAGGAAAGAATCCTGCCTAAAACTGTGGAAAGAAACTGCAAGTTCATTATACTGGGCTACAGGAACCAAGGGCCTAACTCAATATAATGCAGCTTCCTATGTCGATGGGTCGACACGTACATTGGTACTCTTAAGGCTTCCTTCCCTCTCTTTGAGGTCATTTCCTATATCTTGTTGTTCTGCCACATTTATTCATTTCATTATTTCATTTACAGTAGATTAATTTACGTAAGGCAGAACTCCACACATGGAAGCCAGCTTTAAGGAGTTTAAAAAAAAAACCACGGGGTCGACACGTACATTGGTACTCTTAAGGCTTCCTTCCCTCTCTTTGAGGTCATTTCCTATATCTTGTTGTTCTGCCACATTTATTCATTTCATTATTTATTTACAGTAGATTAACTTATGTAAGGCAGAACTCCACACATGGAAGCCAGCTCTAAGGAGTTAAAAAAAAAACATTCATGACGACAATACAGTCTGACAAGGAAGGAATTAACGATGTGCTCTTGGATTAATGCCATGTCGTCACTATCCAGTAATTACATTGAAAAATCTTTTCTTCTGCACTCTTCCTAAATGAATTTCTTGACCCGATGGCTTATTTTTCCTGCCTTCCTACCAGTCCGGTGGGTGATTACTTAAGTTCAGCGATCACAAGCTCAGCAACAGGCCACTGGGCTCCGCCAGTGTGATTTCCGAGACCAATATTCTGCTGGATTTTCTGCATACAGAATGGCAGTCGCCCATGGCTACTTGGCAAGGTCGGGTCATGCAGTGGGCAACTTGCCAAGTAGCCACATCTGCTTCTGACATTCCCTGTGCAGAAAATATAACAAGATGTACTGGCCCCAAATAATCAGGAGTCCCACACACCAAGAGGATACTTACCACACTGTGGAAGATAGGTCCTTGGCCTCAACTGAAAGAGCACGGTTGTTATTTGCTTTAAGAGAGAGCGGAAGCGACAAGCTTGACCATTAAACCACTTGACTGCACCAACAAAAGCAGCCACCACACAGAGCAAGGCCCGTCGCCGGAGGCATGCTGAACGAATGGAAATTTGGAAGACCAAGCCTGGTAGAAGGAAGTGGGATACCACGAGCTATCGTCTCGGTTTGTAGGTTGAGATTCCATTTTGGCAATGCTTAATAGATGCGAACAATCTAGTCGTCTCAAAGAGGCACTTGATCTATCCATTGCTACAGACAAATGGACAGATAACGGACAGGGATCTTTCATGTATCCTGCTTCACTGCAAGAGATGCTTTACTTCTTAACTGTTAGGGAGGTACAACATTGGGACCGCTGACCTCAGGAGGTGGTGAACGCTCCAACACTGGAGGCATTCAAGAGAAAATTGGCCAGCCATCTGTCAGATCTGCTTTGATTCGGCTTCTTGCATTGAGCAGAGGGCTTCAAGTACAGCATCCCTGCTTTCATGTATCCTGCTTCACTGCAAGAGATGCTTTACTTCTTAACTGTTAGGGCGGGACGACATTGGGACCGCTGACCTCAGGAGGTGGCGAACGCTCCAACACTGGAGGCATTCAAGAGAAAATTGGCCAGCCATCTGTCAGATCTGCTTTGATTCGGCTTCTTGCATTGAGCAGAGGGTTGGGCTCAATGGCCTTATAGGCCCTTCCAATGAAATTATTCTTTGATTATTCTGTGAGTTGGTCACTGTTTGAATGAAGGCACCAGAAAAGGCACATCTGTCATACAGAATCATACCACTGGATGGGAGCTTAGAGGTCACCTAGTCCAACCCTCAACTCAAGGTAGGATCTGCTTGGTTGGCTTCAAGTACAGCAACCCTGACAGACTGCTGTCCAGCATCTGCTCAAACACCTCCAGCTCACCATATTAATCTTGATTCGCTCTGTTAGG